TACATACATACACACATACATGCGTGTGTACACATATACATACATCTATACGTTCGTGTGCCTGTTTCGCTACCTCTCTCTCTCACGCTCTCTCTCACTCTCTCTCTCTCTCTCTTCTCTGTCTCTCTTGTCTTCATGACTATCCACCGGCCCCTACTACCTCGACGATGGCAGCCACCAGCTGCTCCTACCACGGCCGCCCGGCCTCCTTCCCTTTCAACTACCTCTGCCAAAACCAGGACGCACGACTGTACCTTTGAGCAAACTCGAAATCCAAAGATCCATGTAGCTGCAACTCATGAGTTTAGCTCCGCAGTACTGCTAAATTGCCGCAGGATCCTGAGGGGAATATTTGGCAGGTTCGAAAGAAGCCGCCCTTGAAGGATGGAGTCTATGGTCCTAATCCTCGCAAAACTGCTCTCCGCTCTATTGGCCCTAAACCCTAAAACCTAAAAACCCTAAACCCTAAACCGTTTGATTCAACTCAGGTCATCACGCCTCCCCGGCTGGGCCATAGCATTGTGATCGACAAGACTGGCATGTTGGCAGCTGGCCTGGGGGGTTCCTTTAAAGGGGTCCTTAAAGGGTTCTATAAGGGATCTATGATAGGGTTCTATAGTAGGGGTTGGTGGGGGTTAAGGGCTTCCAGTCATGGTTGGAGTGTTGCGGGCTTTGCGGTTTAGGATTTAGGGTTTGGGGTTTAGGGTCTAGGGCTTTGCGGCTTCAAGGTGGAATACATGAGTCTAAGGGGTATCGGTTTCTCCCTATGAGGTTTGGCATTTTTTTGCGGAAGGGGCTGAAGAGGTCGGGACGTCATATAGTATCACTATCATGTGCGCATACGCACGAACATAAGTATAAATAACAATAACAACATAAAAAGAAATAAACAAATAAATAAATCAACATACATACACACGCACACACACACACACATATATATATATATATGTATATACACATATGTGTATATATATATATATATGTGTATATATATATATATATATACACACACACGCACACGACACACCCACGCAAACATACATGCACGGCACTAGAGGTAGGTGTGTGTGTGTGTGCGTGCGCGCCTGCGTGCAGAAATTCTTCTTGAGAATATGTCTCCAATCAGCGACAGGGTGACATGCTGTCACCATTACATTTGAAAACCGCTTTTAGAAATCCCTGCAATTTTCAGCTCTTTCTGGTGTGGGCCTGAGCCCTCTGGAGCCCGAGGTCCCTTAATACGTTTGTGTCTTTGGAGCCGAATGTGGATTCCTGATGCTTTTCAGATGCAACGACCGGTCTTTCTGACAGCAATACCAGGGAAAAGCGTCAGAAAGAGCTCCAGACTCCAAGGATACTGAGATTGCCACGCCCACCAGGCCACTCGTTGCAGCCGGGACTTTCCTGCACGGGCTGTTCGGTGGTTGTGAGGGCTTGTGGTCATTTTATGACGTGTTTCGCGACATTTCCCTTGCGCAGTCAAGAGGCCTTGAGACACGAAGCGGTTCGAGCTTAAGAGGAGATGGGGCGCAAACCGAGAGAGACAGGAAGAGAGAGAGAGAGAGAGAGACAGATTTAGGTGCTCATGCGAGATTGGAAAGAGGCAGCGGGGGAGCGGACACTGAAGGAGGAAAGAGTCCAACGTGAATATCTAACGCTTGATCATGGTAGCTTGGGTCAGGTGGGTTTGAAATCCCTGAGCCATTCAAAGCCCTGAGCCCGAAACCGTTAGCTTGTCGACTTTCCATGTCAGCGTTAATGAACCATCAGGACAAGCAGAGAAAACATACTGGCGAGAAGAGTGATGACAAGCAGCAAGAATAGCAAGATGAGTAGGAACAAACGCGATATGGACATGTTACATCTGGATGATGATGATCATGATTTTGAGGATTCTGATCATGACGAGATGTGAGGAATGCGAGCGAACAAGGGTAGTAGCCATCCTCGCTACTTTTGTGCCTCCGTCTGTTTGTGATGATGGTGATTATGACCGTCTAGTGTGACCATGATGGATGGAAATCCTCAACCCTAAACCCTGCCTGCTGCGTGCGAGAGTGAGAGTCGAAACCCTAGCCTGTCCGAGTTGTGAGAGTTCATCAACCCTGAACCCTCAAGATGGCTGAAGTTACCTCAACGCCTGAATCTTGAGCTGGAGCGTGGGCTCCTTCAAGATGGAACTACAGAAGGCGCGAGAGGCAGAGCCGCTTTCGCCTTGCAGCCATTTTGGCTAGTTTTAGGCACCTTTGGGGTTCAGATCGCGGCGGGGGCGGAGACGAATCGTCACAAGATGGCTGCCGGTGCCTTGGCTCAAGACCGCATGATTATTAGGGGTATCTTGTGATGGGTAAAGCGTGTAGCGCGGAGACTAGCGCCAGAACGAAAGCAAGAAAGCAAGAGCATTAGGAAGTTATTCAGCTCCGATATGATCATCACTTCTTCGGTCGACCTTCATCAGCCACCCGACCATGTGAAACTCGCATTTTGGTCGATGAGGGGCTTATTTCCCTTGATTCTTCTTCGAATCTCTGCATCTTTCCTGCCTTCGAGTGTCGAGAAGCCTACCCAAGTACCCACGGAGCAGCATGCCCATCCGACACGTTGCTAGGAGATGTTGCGGCATGTCGTCTGGGGCAGCAGCTAGCAATTGTTGATCAACTAAGCAGATGCGAGCCGCGTGCAACAACAGTCTTGAGGGATGTTTTCCATGTCTTCAACCCGGAACCCTAAACAAGTGGCAGTGCCCGTTGCAACCCCGGACCCCGAAGCAAAACCCTAAGGCGTGCCCGGGGTGCTTGCTTCTTTTCTTTCCTGGAAGTGCCTGTCTTTCTATCAAAGCAGCAGGAAGGTATGTAATCCAATGTATCATACAATATTCTGTGCTGGTTTCTTTTTCGCAGTAAGTTGCAGTACAGCATCTCCCGCCAGTTGATGCGTTGTTTTGGCCTCGTGACGCCCGAAACTCCGAAACCTCGGGCTGTTACCACTTCTACACCCGGCGAACAGGGAGTTGCCCCGAGACACCATCCCCATAGCCTTCAGAGCCCAGGTCTCTCGCACCGGCAAGTCTCCACCGACACAGACGTCGATGTGCTTGCAAACAAGCCGCCGCTGGCTCGACTTCAAAGCTGTATGGTCTTGTGCGAGAGTGCTATCAGAGGATGGAGGCCATGCTGGTCCGGGAGTAGTTCCTGTGTTTGCGGAGGCTCCGGGTCATTGCAGCCGAAGCCTTCGCGGAAAGGGTAACCCTGTGCCTGCCTCTAACCCTTCAGCCCCTAGTCCCGCTGAAACATGCTGAAGCAATCCAAACCTGGACACAAAACTAGCAGCCTTTCGCTTGTCAGCTGGTCATCTTGAAGCGGATCGGGCAGCAGAACTTACAACTCTGGTGACTCTAGTGTGTTGGAAAGAAAAAGCCACCGAGACCCCTTCAGAGCCTTGTAGGAATCCTTGTCCAAGCATGTTACGCAGACGAGCGACTGCAGACCATGAGAGAATGCTCTGAAGCTTGCCAAGGTCGACTGGCCTGCCCCAGTTCCGGTTTCGTCGCCTCAGCCCCTCGGCAAAGTCGGTGTTTGCGTGACAAAATGGGCGCTTTTCGTACCCACCTCGAAGTCCCAACCCTAAACGGCAACCCTACTCTACACCCTGCTAATCTCTTGACAGCACAGGCAGCGCATCCACCACAGACTCCGTGGATGTATCAAGCCCAAGCTCTCATGGCGAGGCTTTGTCTGGGCTTTGCAGCAGTTAACAAATGCTGGTGCAGGTTTGCTTGAGGGGCGTCCATGGTGTTTTGCAGTTGCATTTAGCATTTCTTTTCTCTGGGGTTGCGGTTTTTGCTGATTGGGTTTCGTGCTTGGGGGTGTCAGCTTGGAGATTTCAATTTTTAATTATCTTTTAAAGACCCCGGGCCCTGAACCCTAGCCTGAATCAGCTGGAATCGACGAGGCATCCTTGGGTTTAGAGGCCGGCTACCGATGATTGAGGTTTGATGTTTGTGACGGCGGCGGTGGAGGCGGTGGTGGTGTCGCTGGTTAGTTTTACCGTCTCGCTGCAATATGACCATTGTGACCTGCTTGGCTTTGGCATTCAGCGTTGAGGGTCCGGCAACGTCCCGCATTCAACATCCACATTCTGATTCACTTGAGGTTTTAGTGTGAAGCTCCAACAGACGGCTCTTTCTCCTGGCAGCAGCCCCAGAGGAGCCAGCAGCCATGGTAACGAAGCCAAAAACCCATTTCCCGTACCCTGCTGCCGAACACCTGTCAAGCTGAAAAAGCAAGCAAAGCTGCGTCTCGTGAAACAACGGAGAAAGTTCAAGACTAGGCTGATCACCCAAATCTCCGATTCTGAGGTTCCTACCTCAGGGTTCTGTGAAGGGAGATAGACGTGCTTTCTGGATCTTCTTGTTTGGGATTGCGAAGTTCGGCTGTGTCTTCTGCTTGGCAAGTTTCAACAGTTCTGGGTAGCACGCGAAGACATGGAAAGCATCCCTTTGCATGGCAGGACGTCGATGCAGACCTGCAGCCAAGTGAGCCTCTCGTCTTGTGTCATAGTAGCGGGAGTCATATGCGGCCCTTCAAACTCGATTCACTAGGGTTTGGGACGTACTTTGCAGACATTAGAAGGCGCTACTGGTACTGCTTTTTCATGCCCTTTTACGAGCAAGACCAGGATGTTAACTCTCTGACTGAGCAAGGCAAAGACTCACGGCACTAATGGGAACAAAATAGCAAAACCATCCGGGGCAAATCAATCCGGAATGATTTAGGGGCCTTTCACAGAAGCATACTCTCTCTCTCTCTCTATGCCTTTCAATGCACCCCTTGTGTGGGCCCATACGTTCCTTTGGTATCCTCTTCCTGAAGGCTCAGGTACCAAGGGCTTTATTGCATTGGGTTCAGACTTCAGGGTTTTAGGTTACGTGCTGGGGATGTAGAGCTTCTTTGGGTGCTTCGCCGCGGTTTCGGGTCTCGTTTCGGTTTGCTTCAGATCTGAGTGGTGCTCAAAAAAAGCCGCCAACCCTGAACCCTCAAACCCTGAACGCTAAACCCTATAAACCTAGTGGTAGTGGTAGTTGGTAGTGATAGTCGTATTTGGTGTAGTGGTAGTGGCAGTTGTCGGCAAAATCTCCTTCTGGGCTTCAGTGTTGTTGAGCGATCTGCTCCAGCGGAGGTTCCAGACGTTGCCGAAAAAAGTGGCGCTGTCGACTCTTCGGCTGGGAATCGCACCCTCAGGCTTTAAGGGCTTGGACGACTTATGGTTTGACACTCCATAGGAAAGTTTGCATTGGCGGCTTGGGGTGGCGATGTGTTTGCTTGGCTGGAAAGCGCATTAAGGTTGTGGTGCCTCGATGCTACCGTGCAGTCGCCCAGACTGTACCTGTAGGACTGTAGGGCCTCTACAAGGGTTCTCGTAAGGCTTCCTGCAATTTTCACTGCTGGCAGCAGAAGTCCCATAAAATATCGTAAATCCGAAGTCGGTTCCACCCCCAAAAAAGCATACAAGTTCGATAAGAAAGCTACCGAAACGCCTGCGG